AACCTTGACCTTCTCCAGCCGTTTTATTGCAAATAGTCACCGTTTAACACGAACCATGCAAATACAACAACAGCAGAAACAAGGAATCAGTAACATACTCGAGGACGACAAAATGTAATGGAAATCAAATCCACCAATATGTGAAAGAAATTCTGGATTGGCAGGAAATTGACTTAGCAAACACATCCAGTAATCAACATTTTTTTTAACAAAATCATCTAGGATATGCCGGATTGGTTTCTAATCTATAAATAACAGGAGCTGATGGTCACAGCCACGGATCTAACTCGTGCATTTAATCGAACAAAATGGTGAGCATCGTGGAAAACAATTCTATATGCAATACTGAGTATACATTTCAATCCAAAGTATTTCTAGAAAAGGTTTTAATTCCGACCCTAATCACTTTCCAGACAAACATCAACGTCATTGACTTCAAACTAACCTTTCGTCTGCAAAATAACCGAATCAGAGTGTTTCGAGTCTTACCTTGCTTAGGAGGAATTCTGATCGCGATCATTAGTCAAGCTAGTACGATCACATCCTGGAGAGCGTCGCAGGTGGAGATGAGTGCCAGAAACAGAGCTTCTAGCGAGAATAGAAATCCTCGAATTCTCTCGGCCAAAGAACAGGGTGATGCAGGGAAGATTCGGGACGACGGCGAGTTTAATGGAGACGACAGCTTCGGACAACGTTCGATAGCGATTGTGACGGTTCGTGAAAGGAAAAAAATCGTCAAAACAAAGTGTTTTAGAGCTCTCTGAGAACTGGACTCGATGGAGATGAAGGTCACGGCGATGGATGGAGAGTTGAGTGTGTATTGTAGGAGAACGACCGGCGTGACGGAGCTCGCGGCGGAGTCACGGCGGAAGATCGCCACGGATGAACGGGAGTGGATAACGAGCCCTCAAAGACGTCACCGAGAGATTTTCTTTGTGTGTTCCCCTCTTTTTTTTTACTCTCTTTTCGTCACCTGCCCCTTCTAATCTCTCCTTCCGACCAGTTATCTTAGCCGGATCTTTTGCAGATCTCCCTTGATTTTCGCGATTCAACATATAGTTGCTTAAGTTGATTTTCTCGTTTGACTTGTTCAACAGTGTGTAAGCGAGTAGAGAACGGTGGGAGAGTGCAATCAGTCAGTCACAAGAGGTAAAGATAGGATTTTAGCACCCAAAAAAAAAAGATTTAAAGTAATTATCTAGAAGATATTGACCCACAAGTTTTGGTGGATATTGTTCCATCAAAGAAAATATTTAAGTAAATTCAAAGGGTTTTAAATTGCAACATTTAAAATAGTATATGTTATTCTCTGGGTCAATGAGAAGATTTAAGGATATTGTTCCCAATAAAAGAAACTTCATAACTCAAATACAAACTTTATATGGAATTTGATGGCCTAATACCCTAAAAAACCTCAAACTTTAGCTTTTCTCTCAATTTTACCTTTTTGTCTTATAAAAAACCTCCAACTTTAGGTCATGTCCAATTCCTATCTTAAACTTTTTTTTGTTCCATAAAAAACCCACAACTTTAGATATAGTCCCAATTCTACCATAAACTATTTTTGTATCATAAAAAACCCCCCAATTTTGGGTTCAGTACCAACTATACCCTAAACTTTTTATACGTCTCGTAAAAATTCTCAGTTTTAGGTCAAGTTTTAATTTCACTCTAATTACTTTTTTGTCTTATAAAAGATCATTAACTTTTACTTGAGTCTCAAATTTTTTCTCAATTAACCCTTCGTCAAAATTGCCCTTAGTGATTTTGCGCTCGTTGATCTCTCATGCTTGGGAATGTTCCATCTCTGGCGGTCAGAGAACTCGCACCCGGGACGCTCGAATAGCTTGTGCTCGAGATACTTGAACAGCTTGTTCTTGGGAGCTTTCCATCTCTCGGTTTCCAACGAGAAATTTTGGAATGAGGGTTAATAAGGGCAGATTTGTGACTCAAGTAAAAATTTATGATTTTTTATAAGATTGTAAAAATTTTAGGGTAAAATTGGGACTGGGCGTTCAAATTGGGACAAGATCTAAAATTAAGGGTTTCTCATAGAACAAAAAAAAATTATGGCAGAATTGAGATATGACCTAAAGTTGAGAGTTTTTTATGGAATCAAAAAAAGTTTATGGTAGAATTGAGACGTGATTTAAAGTTTGAGGTTTTTTAGGGTGTTAGACCGGAATTCGATGGAATATCCTTTTTATTTTTATTTTAACTTTAGTTTTGACTCATGTGATCCTAGGATTGATGTTGTAATGTTTTTTAGGTCCTTGCATATCTTCATCTACAAGATTCAAATCAACAGGGTAATTTTTTTTGTCTACTAATTTATTATTGATAATTTTTTTTATAGTGATAATATTTTTCTACTTGTGTTTATCTTTATTTCAGTATTTAATTTGTTTTTTCATCCTTCATATTCAGAAAAAAACGGCTTGCCACATGTTTGCTGGTCACCGGCAAAGCCGATATCAAGAACCTAACATCAGAATGAAGTGCATACGCTAAGAAAGGAACTGTTTTTATAATAACCAATTGTTCACATGGATGAGAAAGCAATGACTCTCACTCTCTCTCAATCTATAAGCTCCCCAAAATAATATACTCTAAGAGGGGTGTCGCAACTTCCCCGTGGGCGCCGGCCCTTGGTGGGCCGACAAGGGTGGTTAAGAGACTAATGGATTGTTAAGTCTAAACCCAGGACTTAACTCAGGCTATCTCAAGCCCATACCTTCTTGCAACTTAGGGTTGAAGTTATTAACATGAAAATTAATTTTATCTAAGAGTTGCCACTAATCAGTTTAGGGTGGGTCAATTAGAAATCCAAGTGAGACAATGAGAGAATCGTCTTACTCATACGAATCAGAGATTCAAATGAGTCAAGCGACTTGGTTACACTAGTTATCTAACTACTGTCCTTTCGGTACCCAACCTTATTCAAACAACATTTAAAAGTTATCGTGCAATCTTCCTACTTATTGTGAATCCTAGGATTCTAATCCTAACCATGCTAGGAAAACGACAATCAATGTATCGAAAGTGCATAAACAAATGCCTAACATGTCTCTAATCAGGTACATGCAAGGTCGAATTAAATACGCAATTCAAACATGCGAATCAACCAATCGTGTAATCTATCATGGCATTCATCATACAAGAAAGCGAGAAAAGGCAATTCCAAAGCCCAATTTCCATTTTCTTTAATTTTCGGAATTTTAATTTTATATATATTTTAAGAAAATAATTTTTTTTTAATATTAAATATTATTATAATAAAATATAATATATTATAATAATAATCAGACCCGATCGGGTCATCGGATCCGGGTTCGGTCAAAATCGACTCAGGTCTAGAAACCCGACCCAAATCAGCTGACCCGGATCGGATCTCCAGATCCGAACCAGGTCAGTGCTAACCGCAGTCAATGACCCGGGTTCTTCATTGGATCGAACCCGGCTGGGGTCCGGTCCTTGGAATATTCCAAAAAAAGGCCGGCCTAAAGGGACCGGACCGGTTGAAAGGGCCCACATACTGGTCCGACCGAGACTGCAGGCCCGTTTCAACCCGGTTCCTGCGTGACTCAGGCATGTGGGAACGTGGGTCAAGCAAGATCCGACGTCTCGCCGGCCGACCCAGCTAGTTCTGGCCTGGTTCTTGCCTCTAGAGGCACTCACAAGGCATTTTCAGGCCACCCAAGTCGCCAGACGACTACCTGCTTGCCAGCCGGTGACCACAACAAATCGGCTTCTCTTGGAACTTTTATCAAACACCAGGCGTGCACAACTAAAAAAGGTGACCTCCAACCTATTTCGGGGCACCGGCCTGCGCCGACGGCCAAGACTCACCTCCGAAGGCGACGTCTGGACCGGGATCAGGGTTGGTATGGGCCGGGATTCGCACTAAATGACCGGTGCAAGTCCCGGCCGACCTGCAAACAAAAACAGGGGAAAACAGAGGCCCGAGGAGTCGAACTGGTTGAGTCGCATCTGGGGGGTCTCCGATTGGCTTTCTGGCGACGGCGAGGTTGGTTGGATTCCCTTTGCAACCTGTAAATTCTCAAACCATGCTTTTTTCACTCTCAAATCTCTATCGTTTCACTCTTTCTCTCTTTGTTTCTCGAAAATGCCGACCGCTTCTCTCTCTTCATCGGGGCTTATATTGTGGCCGTCGGCCACCTCCTGACCGCACAAAGTCTGCTCTCCGTACTGTGCTTCCCCCTATGCTCGTTTTTTTACTTGGTCGAGCGGCATACTCAAGTTCCACTGCTCCTTGTTTGCCACCGTGACAATGGGGGGGAGAAGAGAGACAGAGAGAGAGGGATGGAGAGGGGATAAGGGGGCATTCAATGCCCTATACCGGGTGCTCCCTCTCCATTCATTCTTGCTTGGACGGAACGGCGGGGCTGTTCCACCGTTCATTTGATCCACAGCAACGGAGGGGAAAGAGAGAGGAAGAGAGGGGAAAGGTTGGCTCACGCGGTGGGGGAAGAAGAGGAGGCTGGGCCGGGCTGTGCCCAGTCCCGCGCAGGGGGAAAAAAGAAAAGGGAAAAAGGCTGGGTCGACCCGGCCCCATCCGATTTTTTTTTTCTTTTCCTTTTTTTTTGAATTTTTATTTTTTGAAAAGGAAATATATTCTAATAATGCAAAATATATCTAAGCAATTAAATGGAAATATTTTTGTTTTAGGAGTTAAAAATTTTATTCCTAAATTTTGTGTAATTAATTTAATTGGGAAAATTAAAATATTATCAACAAGGGGAACGAAGGAAAATGTTGCGTCCACCTCACTTGCCAAGTCAGAAATAAATTTACGCCATTCGTTGATCAATATGTGTTCAGTGGGGCCCACGTTTATCCTACATTTAAACTAGAGAAAATCAAAGGTACTCCTTAAACCCAACAATGACTTCATTGCGCAGAACATCGGGAAGGGCGTGTGGCGGGATCTCCTCCACCACCCGAGCCCATTTGTCTGCCACGCGCTCGTTTGTACCATTATGATCCAATTATTCCAAAAGGCCTATGGCATTGATACTATCCTTCTTTACATTGCTCGTGTTTTTGAGAAGGGTGGCCTTACTTCCTCCAACGAGAAACTCTTATGGACTGGCATAGTCGACATTGTAAAGATGATATGCATCCTCCCGGCCACTTTGCTCCTTGACAAGCTCGGGCGACGGCAGTTGCTATTGAGCAGCATTGGTGGGATGGTCGTGGCTCTTATCACCCTTGGAATATGCCTTGTGAAGATCGACCAAATCGACACGAAGCATAACAACTCAAATGATGAGAAGCAAATGTGGATGGAAAATACTTGCATCGCCTCATTGTTACTTTATGTGGCCTCCTTCTCTGTAGGGATGGGGCCTGTCACTTCAGTTTTCAACTCAGAGGTATTTCCACTTACGTTACGGGCACAGGGATGCGCAATCGCCTTTGCTGCGAACCAAGGGGTGAGTGCATTGATATCTTTTATATTCTTAGCATTGGATAAGCCGATCACCCTCAGTGGGGCTGCCTTCTCATTTGCGGTGGTTGCAATCATAGCTTGGGTATTCTTCTTCATCACAATACCGGAGACCAAAGGACTGACGCTGGAGGAGATGGGCCAACTTTTTGGTGAATGGATCCAGCGGAGGTCTCCAGTAAGGGAGATTGAAATGCAGGGAACAACGGGGGGAAGCGATCGAGGCAACCGCAACTAAGGGAATAATTATAAGATTAGGGTGTCTGATAAACATAAATTTCTTTGTTACTTGTTAGGGTATTTCTTTTTTAAAGATTAGACACGCATCATGCATATGTCATGGGTCGATCGATCTAGCGTTCCCACACCCGTGCGGCCTTAGGAATTTCTCCCCAAGTAAGCCTTCCCACACTCACACTCACAAGAACTTTAGAGAGAGAAACTCTAGAGAGAGAAGCTCTGAACTTGTATTGCTTCTTGAAAATGAGAGATGATAAAATGAGGGGAGGAGACCCCATTATATACAAGTATCGGGCTGACCGTATCCGTAGATCTCACCCCGATCTCAACGGTCGAGATCGTACTCCCCCAACTACCCCAACTACCGCATTTATTACGGAAGGGTACAATTACCGTATCGCCCGCCCCCAGGAGTATTCTAGAAGACATCAAGAAAACCCTAGTACTAGAACACTCGGGGCCCGCCTTCTCGTCCAAGGGTCGGTCACGGTCCATCGTCCAGAAAACCTCAGGAACGATCCAATTCTTCGGGCCGTGACACATAGCTCTTCTTCTTATCATCACCCATTTGACTGAATGTTTGAGTTAGTTTTAAATTCTCATCCCGCTCCATTTGACCGAGTTCATGTCCATCTTTTATTGCTGACTTGCGCCCAATACGTCTATTAACACAAGTGATCGGATTGCGGCGATCCGATTTTTAGCTCACGTCTATTAACTCTCATCTATTAACTTAAAGTGATCCAACTTGCCAACTTAGGATCAATCACAACGATCCAATTTTTCGCGAAGAAGTACACATATCATCTTTCAAATTTTTTACCAATTAGATGGTTTTCATCACCGAGTACAATGACCAATAGCCATCCAATAAATTATTGTATATGCAAAGAAATAAAAGGGAAAGCCGGCTTGTTTAAAATTGAAAAAACAATGACCGCAACTTTTATAGTTTGAATGTTGAGAACAATGTAAAGGAAACATATTAACAAATGTTCAAATAGAAAAAATCACATTTCTTTTTTGGCTAAAAAATCAAATAGAAAAAAAAAAGACAGTGAGGCAGCAAAACAGATAAGTTATTCGAGAGTAACTGACGACACTTAAGGAGGCCTTTCTCTTAGTGGATTAACCAACACTTTATGATGTAGAATGTGATCGTCTTTTGCTCCATTCAAAATTCTTGCTTGATAAGCTCAATTATAAGGGGGTTTAAAGGCATAAGCTTTTGAGAGTGGAGTAGAGAGGATGAGCTTTTGAATTAAAATTAGAGTTGGGTTTATAAGGAAAATGCCCACAAAAGAAAAAAAAAACACTCTATGTGGAATGGCGAATTATTTTAGATTGCGGTGGAATGATTGGTGACTAACAATTTGGGGATGGATGAATTCCATGTCGAGTGCCTGTGTGTATGGATGATTGAGGATTGTAAATTCCAGGAGTCCCTCTGAAAACTCTCAGCCGCATTGCATGAGTTGGCTTTTATAATCGGGAAAGCTAGACTGAGCTTTTTAATGTTGAAAAATTCAGACAACCTCCTTCAAAGTGCTCGAAGCACCGGTGCAGAGTAAGAGGAACCACAGAAACAATTCAAGCTTCTCGATGACATATGAATTGTGTGAGCCACAGCGTTCTAGTATTTTCTATTGTTTGCTTACAGCACGAAAATTGATATCTCCTAGGGTAATTTGACCATGTGTTATATATTACAGCAATGAATAAAAGAACTTCTATTCAAGGAGCGCCTGAACCTATGCTTAGTTCAAGTATTCTGCTAATTAGTTTCCTCTAAAGTTGAAAACTGACACTTTAAAGCAATGACGAATCTTATATGGAATGCTCTTTTGGAGTTATTATACATACTAGTAAGATCCAAATTTTAATTTGAGACCTCATTTCTCAAGGAAACTATAGTATAATATTATTTTATTGAACACTCTATCATATTATGTCATATCATTTACTATGGAGTAAGAATGTAGCGATTAAAACCATTATCTCCTAAAATTAGGTTTGATCAAACGAGGATTTTACATGAATTTGCCTTAAGCATATATTTTCAGAATTAAATAGCCAATCTTTACATTCTATACCCAATTACCTTTATCAATCTATTCTCAAGTTGTCACCTCGTAACTTGAAGAACAAAAATAGAATTTGAGAAATTTTTCTTTTTCCATCAATTGATTTTCTTCGAGTTTTTTTTTTCCTAAAAATGAACTTTGGAATGTTGATGGCAGATAGCGTATCCTGTGCCAATAGTGGTCGGCCGTAAACTTAATGCTTGTAGTGCGAGCGAAAAAATTATTTGCTCTATGATATATTTTATGAAAATACGTACAGCAGGTTTAAATTATTGATAATAGCAATTTCATATTGTAAAAGTGTCTAATTATGTAAAAAACGAGTGTTCGCACTGCAAAAAATTTTCATAAGGTCTGCAACGTCTATATTGAATTCATATTAAACTGTGATGAAAGTATTTAATTACATAGAGTGGGAAAGTATTGATGAACAAGGGAGACAAAAGAAAAGAAGAAAATTATGAGTTATTCAGTAAAAATAAGGGTACTTTATTTAACACAAACTGTCCACGTGCGACTTCTTTCACCGTTAATGGAAACATCAAAGAGGTGCCCGAGGAGATTACGGAGCAAATATCTTCTGATTTAGTTGAAGCTTTTGAAAGCGATATCTCAGACAATCTGAAAAGAGTGCTGGAGCGCAATAAAGTCTTACTTGTTCTCAATGACATTCCTCAACTCCTAAATCTCAAATTTAATTTGGGCTTTAGTACACTTTTATGCCACTAATTACTTTGATTAATTCTATGACTAATACTGATAGATTTTTTTCCGCAGCAACTTGCAGAGTGCTTACTCAGTAAAATCACGAGGGAAAACAAACAAGAAGTGATGAAAAGACGGAACCAAGTTATTGTTTCAGCCTTTTAGGTCAATTAGTACCTGTTTTTGATTGCTAGAGGTGGTTGAGATACTTGGCGGGAACTTCATGGATTGTATTTATATCTATATAGGATCAATTGGTACTTATTTTATGTATTCCTATCTAGTGCCTACACATATACTATTTTCAGTGCGCTCCATATTAGAGAGTAATGTCTACGGTTTTAGCGTGGTTCTTTTGGAAATTCTGACCGGAATGAGATTCATAGACGAAAATCAACGTTCCGGTCGACATAACATTGTTGGCTGCATCTAGGAAGGAAAAGAAATTTGTACAAATTGATGGTTCCAAGGCTTAAAGAGTTCTCAAAAGAAGGTGTCCAGATTTCTGTCAAGTTGGTTGTGCGCTGCCTCAGCCTAGATCCAAATGCTCATCCCAGATGAGTAAAGTTGTTAAAGTTGTGACGGATATCCAAGATCTTTCATGTACAAAAAAGTTCATCAAATATTCAAAAAGAGACGGGAACGCTAGTAGTGGAATGCCATCTAAATATAACCATCGTCCAAAGAATGCAAGTCTTTCAATTACGGACAGAACCAATGCATATACGTGCCACCACACCACCGGTATCTAACAGACAATGGTAAACCCAATTGTCCCATTTGTTTCCCTTTCTTCCCTTCCTTCTTTGGTACAGGAGTCTCGACTTTCATATGAACATTCACTCCTAATTACTGAAATGTTGATGGAGTAAGATGCAATTTGAGTTATGTGGTATTTGTAAAGTTATCCTTTGAGAAGTAGCAAGGTGAAGCCTAAAACTGGCGTCGTCTAATGAGAAGTATGCTTGAGTTTTTATTCCCTTTCCCTTGGTTATATTTCCTCTTTAGTTTTTTTAAAAACAATGATCACATTTGTGGACGCATGCAGTGGCGACAGAGGTAAGGTCATATGTCTTGTTTATGTACCATTTCCTTCTAAATTTCTTGGGTCGCGCTTTTTCCACTCATTTTTTTTACTAAAACACTCATTAATACAGTGTTTTGACAATTATACCGTTCACGAGTCCCACCTTTACTATGTGTTTCCCCTTTTGTGGTTTCCTTCTTCTTCTTTTCTTGTGGGTCCCACTTTCCTTCATCTTCTTCCTCATCTTTTTATTTCTCTTCAGGCAATTATCTTCCTGATACCCTATGGCGGAGTTGAGGAGGACGCGGAGTGCAAGTGGTAAAAAACCACCTCGAAAAACAGAATGAAAAACCACAGCTTGAAGCTCCAATTCAATTATAGACAAGCTTCTTCACTGTGTTCAAGTAAGAAACTAGAAAACAACCCAGGCCGAAACACCACCATGAAAAACAGAACAATATAGAGATACAAAAATTTCTCCTCCATAGTATAGGAAGTTAGCAAGTGGGGTCAAAAAAAATTTTTTGAACTCAAGTCGGTCTTCAAGAAAGGGAAAATGAAGGTTGTAGCAGAATGCTTTAACTTCTCCTCATGGCACTTGGCAGTATCAACTACTTAAGGGCAACAAGCAATTAGATCAAGATGTAAAGAACCCGTACTCCTTGACCGTCGCCACTCCACACGGATTGTGCATCGACCCTCACCACTCGCACCATCAGTGGCGGCAGATTCAGAGTGATGTGGAGGTCCTGAGCTTCGATCACCATCACATGTAGGTACTACAGCTTTGGAGAATGGCAGACCATACAGCGCATGTGAGCCACGTACAACGCCTTCGAGCTCCACGCCTTGGATGCCAATCCAAACGAAGAGCTGGATGTCGCCGGAGATGCAACTATTCTTTGCTGCATCGCTGCCCTCAAGGTGGTACCATAGTGGATCGTGGACTGGCACGTCGGAGAGGCCGAAGCAGACGCCGCAGAGGAAGGTCTTCAACGGCATGTCTCAGACGAAGATCTCCAGAGTGGAGCCTTGCCGACTTAGGCTTGTTGTGGCCTCACAATTCCGATGATATTACCATTTGCATCCTCATCAACTTTACCCAAGGATACCACGTTTTACAAAAAGTGTAAAAGGAGAATTGCCTGCAAAAAACATAGAAGGAAGAGGATGAAGGAAATT